TTCGGTATTAGTCCCGAGAAAACAGAAACAAGCGACACAACCGAACGCTCTCAGCAGGGACAGTAAAGCAGTTCATGTTTTCCGGCTTTAATCAGGAGCCCTGTTTCCTTCCTTCAAACTGTCACATTTCTCACCTGGGGGGGAACAGGCGGGCAGCAGCGCTGACCCACCCGCTGCCGAGCGCCCCTCTTGGACAGGTTTTCATCTCGGCCCCCCAGCAGGAGCTGGCAAAGCCCAGCGCTCCAGGACACAACGCAGGGAAAGGCCTTGGTCCTAACCATCCACCTCCACATCTCCTGGATACTCGCCAGCTACATCCCCCCTCAGCGTCGCTTTTAGTAAAGGTACGTAACTAACACTGCTGAGCACCTCACAGAGAATTCCAGGAATTAACGCTGGGCCCAAATTAGATGTTTTGCTCGTATTAACGACATCGTGGAGACAAACGCCATCTCCTTCAGGGACCTGATGAGCTAAAACCTCCTACTGAAAGACCTAATCTGAGGCAACAAGCTGAGCCCTTCTCTCCTCCCTCCCGACTCCAGTGCTCCCAGCTCCATGCTCTAACATGAGTTTGGATCCCCAGGTGTGGTTTTTGCAACAAAACCAAGATAATCCATAGAAAAAAAAGCAGCACCTTCCAGCAGCGAAGCCGCCTGCCCGGAGACCTCTGGCCGTTCTGCCCAACAGAGACCGTTCACACACGGTTACGGGAGCAGGCAGGGCCGGGGCGGGCAGGATCCAGCACATCCCCCATCTGCTGAAGCCAGAGAGCATGAGAGATGGGAGCCGTGACACTGGGAGCTGTGTGTGAAGGCTTTATTAGTTGTCCTTCTGCAGAATCAAATTATTTAGCAACTTACTGTAAAGATTCCTCAAGATCGCTGATATTTTACGTATTCAGAACTTGAGCAATGTACAACGTAATACTCTGAACTACAAAAACCAACCCAAAATCTGATTTCTAGTACTAGGTGTTATTATGCAATTCTATAGCAGTGTGAAAAGTGGAACTAATGCAGTGAGTATATCTGTTCTAAAGAAAGTGCACGAAGGAAACCTCCTGCATCACACTGTTATGTAAAACAAAGAGATAACTGATTTCCTAGCAGGGCGCTGTCTGAAATATCCTACAAGGCTGGCGGATGAGGAGTGCTAAGCCTCAGCTCTCTGCCTTCAGGCTCAAGAGCCACCACAGGCTGCAGGTCCGGGCAGAGTTCACAGCTCACCTGTTTCCAGGGGACTGACACAGCATCCGGCACCGGACGCTCGCGCCTGGCAGACGTGTTGGATGCACGGGTGAAAAAACAAACGCAGGAGGAACAGCTTCTCTCTTTATGCATAGCGACAGTTTCTGAACCAGTGTTTTACTAAGTTACAGACTAACTTCCGACCAAAAAATAAAACTCCATTGCACTAAAGGTCAAATTTAACCAGTTAATCTGGCTTGTGACACAGTCAAGTAATTCAGTACAAGCAGACACCATGAAAGCAGCTTCAAAGAACCAAAGCATCCTCGTTTCAGAACCAACCCAGTATTCTTCTGTCCAGCTCCAGTGCAACAGCGAGGGGGCAAACCACTCCTGTCTCTACTTATGTACAATTCCAGTAGAGGTTGGGCAGTCTAAACTCTCAGTGGACAAGCTGGAAAAGGAATCTTTGGAAAGGACAAGCTCCAGTGCAACAGCGAGGGGGCAAACCACTCCTGTCTCTACTTATGTACAATTCCAGTAGAGGTTGGGCAGTCTAAACTCTCCGTGGCCAAGCTGGAAAAGGAAACTTAGGAAAGGACACTTGAAAAATTTAATTTAAGAAAGAAAGCTGGCTCTCAGAGGGAAGAGAAATGCTGGAGTGATGCACGCGGGCAGGCCTGCTGAGTCCCTCTCCCAGGTGTGCGAAAAGCTGGGCTCCTTCCTGCGAGTCACGCTGGATGTGAAGGTGGCGGGGCTGGTCCTGCTCCGTTCACGTCGAGAATCCCCAGATGTGTCTTCAGCTGGCTCCTGCACGGGCCATTAGGTCTTCCAAAGCGTTGTGTTGGTCATTGTTATGTAATAATAAGACCTCCTTAATGTCTTTTAGCTCAAAGCCCATTTCCTTGAATTGACTCATTAGCTGGAGAAGATCTGTGATCTGAAAGACATGGACAGTCCATTACGTGCCAGCGGAAGCGGACCAGGGCACGGAGCCCGTGTTCAGTGGCTGGGCGCCCCGCGGGGGGATCCCTCCTCCCCAGGCACAGCCCGATCCAGCTCTGTTGGGGGAAAGTCCACTGACACCAGAGCGGGCAGAGCCCTGGGTGCAGCAGCCCTCGGGGCCTCCCCACCTTCCGCCTGATGTCTGCAGTCGGGCACTCCCACAATCCCCTCCAGCAATGGCACCACAGCTCAGGCTGGGGCTGGGCATCTCTCTCCCAGCAGGAAAGTTATCAGCCTGGCCCAATTTGGGCTCCCCAAAACACTGATTAATGACACCCTGCTCCCCCACCCAGAAGCCCCTGCTGCACCTGAGCTTTGTTACCTCGACTCTGGGAACAGTACAGTAGCCCCTGCTACCACCTGGCTTCTCCGATCTAGGGCAAACCTCAGGGGTTAGCACAAACCCTCTGGGACAGACTGTACTGTATGAGCAACACCGGCCACAAATCCTCACGGAGCTTGGAAACAAGGAAGTGACAAGAAGCGAATCAGGTGATCAGACTTTAATGAACCCTCTGCCACGTACAGGGCCACTCCAGGGGAAAGAAGAAACAAAAACCAAGCAAGGAGGTTGAAATGGGCTAATCAGGACATTAGCCACCCCCAATTCTGGGGTTAAGCCAGTAGCAAATGTTTCCTGAACTTTCACTTCTCCCATCTTCACACTGCTGTTCCCCTGCCTGTAAGCTCATCATCGAGTCCAAGGAAAGGCAGGAAGGCTGGGGGGGCTGGGTTGCACCTCTAAAGATTTCGTATAACAGCCTGGCACACAGGAGGCCGGCAGATCCTCCTGCCTTCTGCCCCGGCTGCCCACTACTGCCTCTGTACCTCTGGTGCTGGTGAAGCGGTCACATGAAGAACCAGTCCCCAAAAAACATTTTCCAGCTTCTTCCAGAGCTAGCCCTAACCCAATCTGCTGAGCAGCCGGGCAGATGCATTCGTACAAGGGAAAAAATTCATGGCCAGGGCAGGCTGGCAGCGTTTCAAAGGTAATTTGCTGCTTCTGAAATGAACTGTCTTCTGTATCGAGCACCTTGCCCACGAAGTAACTCTGGGTTCAAAGACACTGCAGCCAGAATCAGCTGGGTCTTTAAAAAACCCTGTCCCCACAAAAAGGCATGCAGGTGAGAGGGGTAACACAGCACAGAGGAATTCCAGTGCTTTAACACGTGTTCGCTTTATCACCTCAAGGATGTCCTCTGGCAGCCAGTTTTGGGAACAAGGCAGCATCACCACAAAAGCCAGAATTACACCAGCCAGAGGAACTGCTACTGGAATTCCCCACCGCAGCACATCCTCCCTACTCCTTAGCACGCTGCGTCCTCACCTTCTCCTCTGGACACTGGTGCATTTCCAGAGCCGCTTCAACGAGAAGTGGATCAAAGCCCTTCTCACAAAGCTGTCCATGTGCAAACAGGTAATCCAAGACCTGTAGGAAATGAAGAAAAGAAAGCAGGTTTGTGGGGTGGCTGAACACCGTCTCAGCACTCGCAGGGGGGCTGGACACGACTCCACCCCCAGCTACACCAGGGACTGAGATGGCGTCTTCCCCTGGGGAGTCGAGACACTCTTCACCAAGAGCTTGGTCAGAGAAAAGGAACGAGCCCTTCCGTCCTGTGCTCCCCCACCAGCACTGAACGTCACCTTCCACTCCAGCCAAAACAGCCTCGGAAGCCCAGCTCTGCCCTTCCCTGCCTGACTGCCGAGCAGAAGGCGTGAGTTTAACTCTGCTTCTTACACTACATCTCTTGAAAATGAAACTGTATGTCCAGCAGTCAAAGCGTGCCAGCTTTTAGCTTCCTCCCAGACAGCCGCAAGCGCTGATGCAGCCTGGAAGCAGTCGGCCTTTTCAGATCAACTCCGGTGGGTGAGCTGCCAATCCCAGCTCGCAGGCCCGGAAACCGCTGCCAGACTGTGTATCCATCCCCAGCTTAGAGAGGAACGGGGAGGGGTCAGGCAGGTAACGCAGCAAGGTGAAAGAACGCAGCCTGCAAGTACAGCAGGATGTAAAACTGCCTTCCCCAGAGAGGCTGTCCACGTGAACT